GCCTATGCCGGCCGCCCCTGTCCGGGGCTGCTATGACCCTAACGGGGTGATGCAGGTGCCCTGCAGTGGGACAACGCGAACAGGACGTGTCTCGCTGCTGTTCCCCTTTTGGGCCGTAGCTTCATGTGCGTCATGTAAACTTACCATCCCTAGTTTACACGTTTTAGGGCATCCCGGGTGCTTTCTGAAATGGGGTGTGCAATGAGCATAAACACTCCCAGAATGATGAAAAGCCCATAATTTACCGGCCCCGGCCCCTCCCCCAATGCTCCTGAGTGAATTGCCGGCCCCAGTAGGCGGCAGCCTTCTTACAAAGTGACATTCACAAAGGCCCACGAGGTCTCCCCTCGGGTAGCGCGGAGCCCGGGGCGGAGGAGGCCGGTGCACGGGTGGGACTGCGCGTAGTAGGAGGGCTTCTCCAGGTGCTAGGGAAGTAGGTGACTCGGTTCCTAAGATCATTTCCCAGTAAAGGGGCTGGTCTCTTTGGAGAAAGAGTCGATGAAGGTTTGGGTGAGAGAGGCACAGGGTGAATTGATGGACAGTCGCAAGGAGGTGCATGAAGGCTGGTGGGGACTCGGGGCTCCTGTGGCCCAACGTGGAGGAATTTAAGTATCAACACAACCTGCTCACGATGGACTTGAACACTTTGAACAACAAAATGTCTCTAGGAACAAGAAAAGAGAGAAGGGAGGGAGAGAGGAAAGTTTCTTTCTCCGAAGAATGTTGGGTGAAAAAATACGTAATTCATGATACTATTACAAAGTCACCTTTGTGAAATCACTGACAGAACAATTTAATTCAGGCAAGAACCACCCATGGGTGCTACAGCCATTGGGTGCAAGTTAATTGGGGAACAGAACGTTAGCAAACTCCAAGTGCATTTTAATAATGTATAAACGGGGAGGGGGGGCACCTCACCAAGTCATCAACTCGGCCTCCCTCTTGATGTGACACAATGGGAAGCATCATTAACTATTACATTCAGATAAAACCCTAAATGGAAAAAAAATAAAACTACAAAAAATAAAACTACAAAAAGTGGTAAAATGTGAATCTCTAAAAATAGTAACATGTGGAAACTAAAACATTTTTAAAAAAAATTTTTTTTAAATGAAAGTTGGCTGATTAAATTTAAAATAACTATGAATCACGATTTTATCACATACATAGAAACAAAATGTAAGAGATTCTGACAGCAAAAACGGACAAGGCAAGAGAAAGCAGAAATTGGGTGTTGTCCGTTATCAGTGGTGCATGTGAAGTCGTGCACTGTTAAGTGACGATAGACCAGGAGACGTCAGACAAACACGATGCAGCGTTTCTCAACCTGTGGGTCGGGAACAATGAAAATGCATCCTGCAGACCAGATATTTACATGACGATTCATCACAGTAGCAACATGACAGTGGTGAGGTAGCAACGAAAATAATGTTATGGTTGGGGGTCACCACAACATGAGGAACTATATTAAAGGGTCGCGGCATGAGGAAGGTGGAGAACCGCTGCCCTAGAAGAAGTGGGAACTCCAGGTGAGATCGCCTACGTGCCCACATGTCTAGATTCGCACCATCTCCTCCGTCGTCGCCTCGCCCACACCTCATGCGATGCTGCTATTTCTGGTGACGTCCCTTCACCGCGAGAGCCTTTCCGAAGATTGGACTCCGTTTTCTGGAAACAGCTATCTTTAGGCTCCTTACCCATTGTCTTCTGTAAAGTGTTAGTTACATAACAAGCACAGCTACAAGGAGGGGGCAGCTCATGGGGCGGAGACAGTGGCCCTGGGTCCCAGCGGGCTAGGCGGAGCCTGGCTGGAGAGGCAGCCCCTCCATCCTCCTCCATCCCCCCAACACCCCCCACACACGTGCACACACACACACACACACACACACACACACGCACACACAGGCTTCCCACATGTAACTGGCTGCTGCTGGACTAACTCCCAGGGTAACCAGCACCCCTTTCTCTCCATGGAACACCCCACCCGACCCCACCAGGCCAGGCCTCCCTCCCGCACTCCTGTGAGGACCCCATGGGCCGCCGTCCAGGCCCAGGACACAGACGGTGGCCTAGTTGCTGTCTCCCCAGAATCCCGTCGGCTCCTCCGCTCCCACACCCCACACTCCCACATGTCGCCTAACTTTTTATAGCTTCCACAGCGTTTCCTTCCAAAATTAAAATGCTCCTGGATGTGGAAGGAAAAGAGACCAGGGAGGGGAAGGACGGTGGGGGCAGAAGAGGGAGAATAAAACAGGATGGAAAGGAAGGGAGGGGGAAGATGCGACGGTGCAGCTTGGCCGTCCTGACAGCTCGCTGTCCACAGCGGTTCCGGGCAGCGGTCTGCATGGGCAGCAGGTGCTGGAGCGCCCGGCGCTGCTGGAGTTGGATCTGGGGACGCACTCCCCGGGGCGCTCAGCTCTGCATGTCTGCTCCCGGGGCTGCTGGGAGCCGGGGTCTGGGGTCTGGAGCATGGGGGACACCGTGACAGGAGCTGGAGCTGCCCACCCCCAGGGGGCAGGTGGCGGGGAGGCTGGGGGTGGCTTTATGAAAGCCCCGATGTCTGCGGCACCTCCTGATGCCAGAAACGGCCCATCGCAGCAGCCCATGTGCTGGGCCTGAGAACCGGGGGCCTGAGGAGGAGCAAGGGTGGTGGCCAGCTGCCTCCAGGCGCCCCTCCGGCCCCTGATGCACTGGGCCGGCCGTGGTCAGGAGCAGGAAGGCCGGTGGGAAGGGGCCAGGGCACCCGCTCTGAGGGGGGCTCCCTAACGAGGTGACCCCTGCTCGGCAGGGCCGGGCACTTCCTCGGGGGCCAGACAGGCGCCCCGGACGGAAAACGAGCAGCAGATCCAATACAACTCCAGTCCCTGCGGCCGCACTTGTCCCTTTGCAAACAGCCTGGCAAAGGCAGATGGAGGGTCAGGGCTCCCGCAACACTTGAGGCTTAGAGGCGGCGCGGCCTGCCCCCTGGTGGTCGTTCCCCGCAATGACACCTGCTTCCCACCTCGGTCCCAGCAGTGACAGAAAACGCGGGGTCAGGGAGCCGGTCTCCGGCCTCTGGGCTTTGGGTTTAACGTCTCAGGAGGAGTCCATCCCGCGCCTGCTCCCGACGCGGTGGGCTCTGTAACGGGCCCTTCCCTTCTGCTCGGCGCAGTAACAAGGTTTCCCATGAAGACGGGCTCCGCAGACAGAAACCTGGTTTTGTCGTTCAGCCGCAGAGACGAGAAGCTTGGAAACCAGGGAAACTCCAAGCGGAGACCTGTTTCTTAGGGAGGGAGAGCTGCCCAGGCGCCTAAGCAGACCGGCCTGAGCCGGGACCCGGAGAGCAGCTGCCTGGGGGCCAGCCCCGCTCACCTCCTCCCGGCACGGCCACCTCAGCAAAGTGCTTACACTCTTACAAATATATATTTTTTACCCTGGCTGGTGTGGCTCAGTGGATAGAGCACCAGCCTGCAGACTGAAGGGTCGCGGGTTTATTCCGGTCGAGGGCATGTACCTTGGTTGCGGGCACATCCCCAGTAGGGAGTGTGCAGGAGGCAGTTGGTCGATGTTTCTCTCTCATCGATGTTGCTGACTCTCTATCCCTCTCCCTTCTTTTCTGTAAAAAATCAATAAAATACATTTAAATATATATATATTATTGATTTGAGAGGGAAAGGAGAGAGAGAGAGAGAGGGGAGGGGAGAGAGAGAGAGAGAGAGAGAGAGAGAAGCATCAATGATGAGAGGGATTGGCCCCCTCCTGCATGGCCCACACTGGGGATCGAACCCGCAACCTGGGCCTGTGCCCTGACTTGGAATCGAACCCTGACCTCCTGGCTCATAGGTTGATGCTCAGCCCCTGAGCCCCGCCAGGTGGGCAGCATTTACACTCTTGATGCCTCAGTTCCTTCACCTGAGAGGACTGCCCTGCAGAGCTGTTGGGAGGGTCGCAGGGTCAGGAACACAGGTGCTTCCACTAACATCCGGCACAAGGTGCCAGGTAAGCGCTGGAGATGATGGTTCTGTGGTCACTGCTTAGGGTACAAGAGCTCAGGCAGATCCGACTGCCGGCCACACGGAGGAGGAGGGTAGCAACATTAGTCACCGTTGGCGACCGGCTGCCCCCTTTCAGCACCGTGGGGATAGGAGGGGCAGACACCCCCACCCTTTCACCGAGGGGTCGTGGCCATGTGACCCCACTGGGACAGGAACCGTGGGAAGGAACTCAGGGGCAGGGGCAGGGGCAGGGGCAGGGGCAGTTGAAGACTGTGCATGGAGCAGTGACAGCCGGGGCCATCAGCAAGGCCTGTGGTGCCCGTGTGAGGAGGGCCTGGCGCTGGAGGTGCCCTTGCCCAGGGCCGGGGTGTGAGCCCCACGGTGTCTTGCTCTGCCCAGCGCTCCGCTCCCTCTTCCTCTGAGCTGAGCTGTCGTCACTACCCAAGAACCCGAACTGGGATGAGGACACTGAGCCC